TTATACATATATAGAATATCTTGATGCTAGTTTCTTGTGGTATATCTTCGTGCGTAGGGTTGCATAATTAATCGAGATGCAAGAGCATATTGATGCACATTGTAGATACGCGGATAGATGCAAGAGCATATTGATGCACATTGTAGATACGCGGATATACGATTACATGTATTTTTGTATGAACACGCATATGATATTTTCGTAGTGCGCAAATATAATTTTTTGCGTGTTGTATCTTTATATTGAGTACGTACGTTTATTGTCGTAGTCAGTCTTAAATTGAACCTTGAGATACCATATACTAGTGTATCCTCAGGAATAACTCTTTATACGACGTGCAAAATGTGCCTACACTTTGTTTCAAAATAAACATACATAGTTTGATATATTCTTTTGCGAATGTCTACAAATACGTCACTGATTGGATCGCATCGTAAGTGCGATGTGCACTTCTTATACTCATTCTCACGGTTTGTGTATATGCATGTTTACATTTTCATGCGTATATTCGTATTATTCATTGTATACTAAATGTATATAAATTTGCGTATATGGATATGGATATGTGGCTATATCTATAGGTTCTTATATAGAGATGGCCGGGAGTAAATAGGCATGCATACGTGTTTTTTCCTCTATAGTAGAAGCTATCAATGATGAAATTCGTAAAGTATTAATCATATCCGGGAGGTGGTTTGTCCGTGCAAACTGTATGAGCAAACATCAAAGAAGTCTGAACTAATTTTGCTGCTTATATCATACAACCCCTTTCATACTTTTGCGTACGGAAACAGTTTGGCAAATCTTACAAGCCCTGCTTTTGGTAGGTCGCGATTACTATTGTAATTGCGTTCGTGAGCTGGTTTGGTGTATTTACTATTGTATTTGCGTTCGTGAATTAGTTTGGTATTGCATTCCAACAGTGTACATTACCATACATGCAACTTGCCTGCAAGAGGATTTGTTCAATGACAGACCATCTCAGACACCTGTGTCCCTATGTACTCTCTTCCTCTTTTCTACAATTAATCGATGTACATTGTTGCCTTCTTTTTTGGCTCTCAGCCTGCGTACGACTTGTGGGCAGCCATCGACGGAGAAGGCTTCGGACTTCGTCTTCGCCGCTTTGTCACTACCAAATTCGTCAGTAGTCCACACGTGTTAAGATCACTCAGTGCTATTTCAGGTCTTACCCCTAATGGTAAGTAGCTTCTACAGACATACTGCTGGAGGGTTGTAAATACATGCGAATCATCAGTATCAGTTCTGATCGGCGATAAATGAGTTCATTAAACCCTCGTTTAATCGTTTTCTGAGTGAAATGGAAGACTTCACATCGGTATCTATTTTCCGGTTGCAGTAATAGTCTTGTCTGACCCAATTATGTACTTTACTCATTTGGACATCTTCGCCGAGTGTGTCGTGCGTTTGTGTTGTACTCTTGGTTTGTTATACCTTTCTCCCAGTTCTGGTCGTGTGGACACATGTGCTGTGCGGTGTCGCTGTGTGCTGTGTAACCGTAATCCCCGACGTCGCTGTTCAACAACGCCTGACAAGTTCTTTCTTCCATCGCTTTGTGTCTCACTATGGTTATCCTGTTGTTTTCGTTACACACAAAACTAGGGTTGACCGCACCGCTAGTGTACTGGATTCTGAATCTATGCGGACTCTCATCCTTAGCCGTACACGACAAAATTTTACCCGGACTTATAGAAAACATCACGTCTCATCGCATGTCGGCTGCACTGCACGTATGTGCCCCGCCAGCCCAAGGTGTGTTTGAATTACTTAGATTGTTACATTGAATATATACAAAGGTACGGGCCAACATGCGT